TGTGTTGAAGACAAAAATAAAATGACATTGGTAAAAGACAGCTAAGTCATTAAAGGATGACATTGCTTTTGTGAGAAACTGTTCAATAAAGATCACTGGAAGAAATAGTTGAAGGCGACAACTTCACAAGACCTATGTCCACAGTAGAAACCTAGAAGTGGTAAGGACAATGAGATGTGGGAAGGCAGTGAAATCAGACAGTGCATTAGTTAGTTTAAAACATTTGATGATGAGGGAGTTGTGATGGTGATGAACTTCAGCTTAATCTTCAAATTAGAAAGATACCCAGTGACTGGAAGAAGAGCACTAGTCCCTAATTTCAAATCGTAAAAGGGATGTGCAAGAAAAAAGTAATTAGCAACCCATCAAGTTAATGAGTCTCATAATGAAATGGCTCAAGAGAATTATCAAGAAAAGATTTTATGAGAAACTAGAACATCAAGAAAGCAACAACCTATTCAGATATATGCCAGATAGCTCAACAATGGATACACTGTCTGCAGCCCAACGATTGAAGAGGGCAAAATGCAGGAAATTGCATGTAGTGTTTAGCGACTTGTAGAAGGTTTAAGACAGAATTTTTTAGAGGACTGGGGTGGTGTTACCTGCAGTCATGCAATCTGGTGATGTCTGTTCAGAATATCATGTATACACTTGAGGTTAATACAGTAGTACTGAGAAGCAACTGTGACGACAGTGACCAATTCTCTGTGAGGGTAGGTCCCCAGTAAGTATCTGCCTTAAGCCCATTTCTGTTTATAATTTCAGTGAACAGCTTAATGTCAGGCAGGGTTGTCAAACATTTGACCCATAAGTTGCATCCAGTCCACAAGGACACTTTATCCAGCCTGCCAGGCTACCAGTGGGTCACTGTAAAGTTGGAGGGCCCCAGTGAGTATGGTCTTCAGCGGCAGGAGAAGTGAGCAAGGGCTTCAGTACACCAGTCCCACTTGCCTTGCAGCTGTGTCTGCCCTACCGCTGCTGTCCACGTCAGCCAGATTGATCCTGCTGTCCCGGGCCAGATCTGACTTGCAAGGAGCCCTGCAGTCTTGATCTGTCATGGGGTGTAAATTTGACACCTCTGATTTGGGGGGTTAGGGGAAGGGCTTCATGGGACATGCCTTCTTGCTGATGATGTGTTGTGCTGTTAACATGAAAATAGAAAGTATTTTAAACTGGAGGACTTAATAAACAGAAAATAGTATACAAATTAGGTGATAAAGAACAAAATACCTGTGATGTTTTCTGAGTTACCGTGAGAAAGCAGCAACATTCCATGGTATGCAGGAAAGTCTGTATAATAATATAAAAACTTCAACTCAATTCTGAACTATGACCATGAAGATGTAGATGTCAGGAATTGTTTAGAGCAGTGGTTCTCAACCTTTTTTGTACCAGGACCCATTTGTAAACGTCCATGGCCAGTCCTGACCCAGTAAATAGTTTAAGTAGAAAACGCATGAGTATTTTGGCCCCAAAATACTTATTACAAACTATAAATTTAAAGCACCTCAACAGTCTTAATTTTAAAGACAGAAATCAACATCAACAGGAAAACATTAACAACAGTATCAGTACATGACCCTCCATTACTCCCAAGTTACGTTCATCATTTGTGCAATTCTCACAAAGCAAATTGCTAGTGCCCCTCACTCCTGACTTGCAGTTCCCCATCCCTACTGGTGTCCCTCCCAACCTGCTGACCCCAGGCCCCCAGTATGTGGGGCAAGAGATGGGTGTGTGGGGGAAGGGGAGGATGTGTGTGGGGCATTGTGGGGGGGGGGCAGGCATGTTCCTGCCCAGATTTGTGCTCCCACCATGGGCGTGGGGCTGCAGCCTGGCATGGGCAGGAGCTGCCTCTGTTGTCCAGTGGGCGGGACTCGGCCTGGGATGATGGGACTCATTGCTGCTGCCACCTCCACTGGGACCCCCATGCCAGCTGAACTGCCAGCGGCATGAGGAGTAATGGATGGGGTGCTGCATTGCCCTCACCTCCTGCTGCCAGCCACTCGCATGCTAAGCTGTGGCTGTACCCTGCCACCATGGCCTGGCCACTGCTGCTACCCCCTAATGCCACCTGTGCTGCCTGGCACCCCACCTCTCCTCCAGGGTAGAGCTGTGGCCTGATGAGAGTGGTGGTGGGGTAGAACTGCAGCTCGAGGGGGACAGCTGGCAGTGGGAGATGGTGAGGGCAGCATGCTGCGCCCCCTCCCCCTCCTCCCGGTGGTGCAGAGGTTGTGGCAGTGGCAGCAGCAACAAGTCTCACTACCCCACTGGGTCCTGCTTCTTGGACTGCAAAGGAAGTTCCTACCCATGTTGGTCTGGCCAGGCTGCAGCCCATGCCTGCTGTGGGCACAGATCTGGGGGAGCAAGTGCCCCCCATGCCTCTCTGATGTGTTGCCTTCCACTCTCCTGATGCAATATCTGTTCTTCCCCCCCACCCCCAAACTTGGCTGTGGGGAGCTGCTTTCTGCACATGCATGTGGCACCACCTGCCTAATCACTGTCCTTTTGTTCCCCCCGGCCCCAAGCTGCCCTTTGCAGGCTGGAACGCTGCTAGCCTGCAAGGGGAAACCTGTGGTTTTCCACATTTTTCTCCTTTTTCACATTCTTTCCATGTTTTTCCATGATTGTTTGTGACCCTTTCATATATTTTTGTGACCCGCTGTTGGGTCTTGACCCATGGATCAAGACACGCTGGTTTAAAGTACTGGTGCTAATTGATGGAGTTGACAGGAATTCTCTGCTTTAAGAATGTGCAGATTGAACTAAAGAGCAAGGTTTCTTCTCTTAGAAAAATGTGCTACCACTTCAGAAACCAAAAAGTATGTCTAAATATGCACATTTATTTTTTTTATTTGTTATAAGGGTAAAAATTCAACTTACTTGGATTAGAAGTAATGTAATGTTAAGTACTTCCAAGTTTGATTTAAGAGGTTTAAATCATTCCGAAAATGTACTAACCTCCTAAGAGATGTAGTATCTTTTCATAGTTATTAGAGCTATGTCTCTGCCTTAATTAAGTAGCAGGATTGATCAGGAGCAGGTGGCCTAGTTTTCCAGAATGTTGATGAATGCTATATGCATGGCTGCCTTATGCCCAAAATAGTGAAACGTGTTTGTATATGCATGCGGAATTAGAGGAAAAAGTAAAATTTGGAGGTCGTGGAGGAAGAGAATTTGTATTTTTGAGCTTTTTGTTGCTAGTCATAAGCTTAAAAAACAGACCCTTTTTGACTGACAACATAATGACTCAACAATTGGAAGAAATGTAATCAATTGGTTAGAATACTAAAATGTTCCTTTTTTCCTCTTTCTTTTTTCCTTTTTAACCATCATTATTTTTAAAAAATGGTTTTCATTTGGGTCTAGAGTATGTCACAAATGAAATGTCCAGTCTCCACTGACTCATTGGTATTTTGTTCAGCTTGTACTAAGAGTGTTAATGCCAAGCCATTTGACTGTTGCATTTGATTTATATACCTCTTACAGCTCTGAAAAGACTAATCTTCCTCATGTGTTTATTGTAATTCATTGCTGTATTGAAAAATGAAGGGCATAGGCATATGAAAAACTTAGGACATGGGTACATGTAAAAGTTATTCTGAGGCAGAGCAGGGCTTCACTGCACATAAGGCATTTACAAAATAGCACATGCAAACTCTTATTTTGTAGTAAATAAATTAACCTGTGGTCACTGAGGTCTGAGTTACTACAGGTTATCTTTAATTTACTGCCTAGGTATACTATATACAAGGGCAGTAACTGTGCAAAGCTTTGGTCACCAATTTGATTTGGAGGAGGTTCGGCCCGATTTCAGCGGCCGAATCTCCAAATCGAATTGGGAAACCCATTAAAAGGTCCAAATCAAATCAGAAGCCTCTGAATTGATTTGGAAAAGATTCAGATCAGCCGGGGAGAGGCAGGCACAGCTGGGTGGCTGCAGGTTCTCCCACAGCTCCTCCGGCTGTGCCTGCCTGTCCCTGGGCAGGGGGAGCCACAGGAGAAGCCCCCATCGCTGGCCTCGCCTGGCCCACTCC